GCTTGTAGTAGAGTATTTCATTCATTTTATATTTTAAATCCCATATATAAATATATTCTACCTCTATATCTCACTCTCTCCGGGCGTGGCCTAGTGGTTAGCATGCCCGGACTGTGAAATCCGCGCGAAGTCGAATCCGGTTCGTCAGCTCCTAAATCCAGAGCTCTAATATAGGGTCAACCCACCCCCCCCCTCCAAATTTTAAGTCAGTAAAAATAACTACCTACGTTAGTCTATATTTCTTCTTTGAACATATGCCAACTTTACTGTCAGTGTCCAGAAGAGAATTTAATAAGTAAGATATTATTTTCCAGTGTAAGTTGTTATAACAGAATCTACACATTCAGCTTGAACTACAGTTATTCAAGACACTTAAGAAGAGTCTGCTTTAAGCCTACTTAAGTTGACGTTTTTTAGTACCAGATGAATAACCGAATACTGAATGCCTTTATACATGCTTTGGGAAACAACCCTAATCCGAAGATGAGAATGTAAAGCTGTCCTGGATCATGGTTCTCGGGTTATTGTAATTCTGGATCATGGTTCTTTGGTTACTGTAATTGCAAGGTTAAGGCAGTTTAGCTAAACGTCAGACAATGAACAACAAAGCTACGTCTTTTGGTTCTTGGGTTCTTGTAATTCTGGATTGTGGTTCTCGGGTTATTGTAATTCTGGATCATGGTTCTTTGGTTATTGTAATTTCAAGGTTAAGGCAGTTTAGCTAACGACAGACAATTAACAACGAAGCTACATTTGTTGGCTCTTCGGTTATTGTAATTCTGGATCATGGTTCTTGGGTTATTGTAATTTCAAGATTAAGGCAGTTTAGCTAAACGTCAGACAATGAACAACAAAGCTAAATCTTTTGGTTCTTGGGTTCTTGTAATTCTGGATTGTGGTTCTCGGGTTGTTATAATTCTGGATCATGGTTCTTGGGTTATTGTAATTGCAAGATTAGGGTAGTTTAGCTAAACGTCAGACAACGAATAACAAAACTACACCTGGTTTTATGGACTACATACTGGAACCAAAAACTAAGTAAAAAAAGATGAAACATCTACAGGAAACAAACCTAATTTAGAGAAGCGAATGGAGAAAAAAGATGTCTACCTTCCACGTTGTATCATCTAACAGAATTATAAAAAAAAATTTAAACAACAGTTTTTATGAATACAAATGAGAAGTGACACAAATGTATGGCGAAGTTAGTCACGGAAAGAGAGCGAGTCACATAGACATCCTACGAGCTTCTCTTCAGACACGTGAAGTTCATGACACCACCAGACCCTTACGCCCAGAATTATGACTTCTTCCTTACACGCCTACTCCCCTTAGACTACTGAATATTGAACTTAACGTAATAAACGAAGATAAATGTGGCAAGAGTTATGCTGGCAACAACACAATACATTGTCTTATGGAGCTTTTTTTTTTTGAATGGTCAGGCCAATACCACATTGCCATTTGCAGGGGGGGTCTGGGGGGCATGCTATGAGATTGAATCTTGAGCCATTTTAAATACAAATACTGGATACACACAACGTAATGTATTAAATTGAAATGTTTTAATATATAAGTTGTGGCTATATATGCCATGAAAGAGTGGCCATGTCATGGCCTGACTGACCTTACCGCTTCCTACGGCCCTGCAATACATTACTTATCAATATATGTTTCTTTGTATATTTTTAAACGGTTTGTTTTACAAGATGGATGTTTGTTAGTTTTTAAACATGTTAAACAGAAACTGCTATATTTCTACCTGCTTAGATTTTTATTTTGGGGGTCAAGATGGCATGTGTACATGTTTGGGGGTCAAGATGTCATGTGTACATGTTTGGGGGTCAAGATGGCATGTGTACATGT